GGACCCGCGATCGCCTCAGCGTAAGAACGCGGAGTCAGGATGTCTGGTGCATCCGGGTCTCCCTCAGGGGCAAGTAGCATGGCCACGAGATGAGGCGCAGCGGCTGGAAGATACTCAAAGTCCTTCTGCCTATCCTCAAGGACGTCCATGCCAAGAGCACACTTACCCCCGACGGACGGAGGACAGACAGATTCAGACGCAGCAACAAGACTAGCAGTGTAGTCTAAACGACAGGCAGCAGCAAAGTCAACAAGCTCACCGACTAAGGCAGACGCAGCAGTGGACTCAAACGAAGGGTCAGTGACAACATTGGCAAGCAGACGCGTGACAGTAGGGCTAGCAGCACGAACGCTGTCAGACTCAGGGTCCGAAACGGCAGGCAAAGATGACGCAGGAAGGGACGGCAGGGGAACACGCTGCGGAGTAGTGGAAGGACGCAGGGCCATGAAGTGCATGCCGGATACAGCCGGCGGACGCTCACGAGGAACACGATGACCAGTACGACCCGTGCGGACAGTGCAAACAGGCGAGACAGGACGAGACGCCGGCTCACGACGCTCAGTAAGACCTCCGGTCTACTTAGTGTTAGGAGAAGGAGCAGGCAGCGGTGAGGCAGGCTGTAACCGAAGACCAGTAGAAGACGGAAGGCTAAGATCTTGGCGAAGCTCGTAGTCAGGCGGTGGCAAAGACGAAGGTGATGGCGGAGCGAAGAACAGTCATGGCTATGCAGTGCCACCAGCACCAGTAGCTCCAGCACCTCCAGTAGCTCCAGAACCTCCAGCTCCAGCGCCTCCAACGCAAGCACCTCCAGCTGCTCCAAAACCTCTAGCGCCAGCACCTCCAGTACCAGCACCTCCAGCAGCTCCAGAACCTCCAGCTCCAGCGCCTCCAGCGCCAGCACCTCCAGCAGCTCCAGAACCTCCAGCTCCAGCGCCTCCAGTACCAGTACCTCCAACAGCTCCAGTACCTCTAGCGCCAGCACCCGAAGTACCTTCGCCACCAGCAGCAGCACCCCCAGAACCAGCACTTCCAGTCCCAGGGTCTCCACCCCCAGTGTCGACAGCAGCACCTCCATGTCTAGCAGTACCTCCAGCCCCAGCAGCTCCAGTACCTCCAGGACGAGCACCTCCGGGACCAGCGGCTCCAGCAACTCCAGTAGAAGCGCCCCCAGTAGCAGGGCCACCAGATCCAGCACTTCCAACGCCAACACCTCCCGCAGCAGGGCCCCCAGCTCCAACAGCGCGACCCTGACGGCTAACGTACCACTCACGCAGCTGCTGTGGAGAGAGAGGTACACGCCAATGAGAGTGCTGCGGCGAGGCACAAACGGAGCGACTTTGGAGGTGGCCACTCCAAGGAGAATGCTCACCAGGCGCAGCACCCCCAGACTTCGCACCCGCAGTATCAGCACCCCCAGGCTCCTCACGCTCAGGCTCAGCACCTCCAGGCTCCGCACGCTCAGGCCCAGCACCCCCAGGCTCCGCACCCCCAGGCTCAGCACCCCCAGGAGCAGCACCCCGAGCAGGACAACCCCCAGCAAGGCGTGAGTCACCAGTGACCTCAACCGGCTCAGTCAAGGGAGGAGGGTCTACCTGAGACACACGCGAAGGAGCAGGACCTGGAGCGGGGAGGGGGGCTACCTGGGGAGGACCTTGCGCAGTGGAGAGGGGCAATGCCGTAGGGAAAGAGACGGTAAAAGGGGACCGAGTCGTCAAAGTTGACGTCCTGAGTCGCAAAGACACGGCGCGAGTTGGGGTCATAAAACGGCCAGCCAGGTGCGTCAAGGGGAAAGCCAAGGAAGACACAGGGAAAGGCGTGATGGGAGAGCTTGTCCGCAATGGTATCGCGGACAAAGGCACGAGCACCCCAGACTCGGAATCGCGATGCATCGCCAACCTCCCCCGTCCATTGTAGTGTGGGCGAAGTCTCCGGCACGGAGACACGGGGCCAGAGGTTGAGCTGATGCGTGGCGTACCGGATCGCAAACGACCACAGAAAACGGGGGGCAGCCGCATGGATCATGGAGGTACGAGCGACCTCCATGACTAAGCCAATGCGGCGCTCAGCAACCCAATTCTGCGGCGGAGAGGTGGGAAGCGTGAAAAACTGGCGGATGCCGTGCTCCTCACAGAAGGCTCGCAAGAGGTCGGAGGTGAACTCACCACCTCTGTCAAAGTGGAGACACAGGATAGGAAAGTCCGACTCAAACCGCTCGCGGAGCTGGAGACGAACAGCGCGGATCCAGGGGATCAAAACAGAAGGGACGTCCCCCTTGCGTTGCAAGAGGAAGATCATGGTGTAACGCATATAGTCGTCGACTACCAGCAGGAAGTACCACTTGCGGCCCAGCCCCTAGACGCGGGCAAGGCCCCACACGTCCAGGTGGAGAGTCTGCAGTGGAGCCTCTCTGGGAGGGAACGAGGAGGAGTGAGGAGCGGCGCGCTGCCGCCCCTCGACACAAGGAATGGAGGGCGGCACAGGCGAGGTAGGGAGGGAGGGTAGAGACCTGGGAAGACCAGAGACCAGGTAGCGAGAGTGCATGTCACGAAGGCAAGGCAAGGAGGGGTTACCAAGGCGGTGGTGCCAAAGGAGAGTCTGGTGCGATAGGCGGCGACACTCACACTGGGTAGCTACCTGAGCGGACGCGGACACTGTCGTGAAACTAACACAATAGGTAGTTAGGAGAATAGTTCGGCCTAGGCTTAGTAGCCTAGGCCAAGGAGGATCGAGTTGGTTGTGCCAAGGGTGTCGAGAGAGTTTCGGGAAAAGTGAGTGGTTCACTATAGGTTTGCAATCACATATATGCAAGTGAACAAAGGTGCACCACCTAACACAGTTTGTAATAACTACACTAACTACAGCTACAGGCAGTTACAAATATATACTCTGACACTCCCCCATAACTGCCTACAGCAGGAGTTTGTGCAGAACACAACCTGCAGGGGTACACAAATAGCAGGAGCAGCAGGTAGGTAGGTAGGTAAGGATATCCTGGAGGTACTGCTAGACATGGAGGTGCTGCTGCGGGGTCGTAAGGGTCTCGCTCGGATATCGATGCAGCTGCATCTGGCCGCCGCCAGAGACTCCGAGCCGAACAGCTCCAAAGTGACAAACACTGCGGATGCCACCGCCGCCACCGCTCCCACCACCGCCGTGAAGAGAAGTCATGCAACCAGCAGGGCGGACGGGCAACACGGCAGGCTGGGGCAGCCCGCACGGGCGACCCGACGGGCACGGGTAGCGCGGACGTAGGCAGGGGCAGCGCGCGCACAGGCAGGGGCAGCGCGCGTGCAGGCAGGGGCCGCGCGCGCGCTGCAAGAAGTGGCGCGCTGGCCAGCAGGGGCCGCGCACGAGCAGGCTAAGGCTGCGCGCGGGCGGCGAGGGCGGCGCGCGGGCCAGCAGGGCCGCGCGCGAGCAGGCGAAGGCTGCGCGCAGGCGGCGAGGGCGGCGCGCGGTCGGGCAGAGGCAGCGCGCGGGCAGCGAGGGCCTGCAGGGGTGGCGCGCTGGCCTTACGGGCCTGCAGGGGCGGCGCGCGGGCCTTACGGGCCTGCAGGGGTGGTGCGCTGGCCTTATGGGCCTGCAGGGGCGGCGCACGGGCCTTACGGGCCTGCAGGGGTGGCGCGCAAGCTGCGAAGGCGGCGCGCGCGTAGCTAGGGCAGCGCGCGGGGGAGCAGCGTGCAAGGCAGAAGCAGGCAGCGTGAGGGCTGCAGGACGGCGCACGCAGCGCAGCACGTCACAAGGCAAGGCAGGGCAAGGCGCGCGCAGGTCAACACGTGGGGTAGCGCGGTAACCGCAACGGTAGGTGGGCCCGAAAAAAAAAAAAAAAAAAAAAAAACAAGAGGCGACGAAATCGTCTTAGGGTTGCGAAGCTGTTTTGCAAAAACACATATTTTATCTGGTTTAGAACTTATACACAACTTGATGCTTGTAACTTTAATGTTGTTTGTTCTGTATGGGTTTGTAAAATGGTTGCACAAAGTATCGAACCCTACACCTTCCGATAACAGGACAACCTACAACGATTGCGACAGACGCGCTATTAACAACCTATGAAATATTATCTTCATTGTGAGTTCAAAAGCCGTTTGTAGGTTCGATAACTTTCACATGCTTCGAACCTGCAATCTCTCAATTGCTCAACCATTTTCTACCGTGTGCGCCAAGGCATCTGCGATGTGCAACTGTCGCAATGTTTTATACAGCGATTATTGCGACGCGATTGAACCAGCCCAAGGGTTTCAATTTCTCCTTTTCTTCTCTCACGTCCCCTTGCTGGTGGAGCTTGATTGACACCCGCCCACCAGTCACGATCTAGTACCACGATAAGGTGAGAAACGTTCTAAGCTATCAACTAGGACTAACTTAGATGATTATAAGCTAGACTAGGACTAACGTAAGAAATAAGCGCGACGAATTTGACGCTACTTTAGGGTTTGAATGCTCTTTTTCTCCTCCCTTTCCTCTCGCTGCTGAAGCTTTTCCCAACTTACACCCTCTAGTCACGCTGCTCCTACCTACCACTAACAGGTCAGAACCCTAGGCTATTAAGTAGAAGTAAGTTAGTTGTTAAAAGCTAGACTAACCGTAATCTCGTATCCTAGTCTTAATCGCGTGTCCTTAGGTTCTAAGCTCTTAGTTTAGGTTTCAGCATTTCCTGTAATCTTTTGGCTAAACTAAGCTAAGAATGTGATTGTCTTTTAGTTGTCGACAGCCCATGATATAGTTCGTTAGATCTTGCTGTTATGGCATGTTTAGAAGCCTAAGCACGTCATATGTGCTGACGTGCACGTCATTTAATCACGTGTGCTGTGTTTGTCTCTTTCCGCTTCCTTAATTGCGTTGTTCACTCTGTTTCTTATGCTTGTACCGTCTTCTCACCGTTCATTCTGTGAAAATGAACGAGGATGAATGCACTATGAAAGAGTTGGGTACAAGTACTAACCCTAATTGGGTTGTACCCCATATAGGCTACCCCACTACAGCCTACACAAAAGCATAAGCTATAATGTTCTGACACACCCCCATAAGCAAAGTGGGGGAGTACAAGGGATCACAAGACCAGTCAAGCAAAGTAAAGCAAAGCAAGCTCAGCGTGGATCACAAAGTCACCACACATTCCGAGCACAAGGTCAAGGCCACAAGGCCAGTTCACATGCAGGAGTACATATACATATAAAAGGCTAGACAAACAAGAGCAGGTGTATATATATATGTAACAGTACAAGCAAGGTCAAGAGGTGAGCAAGTGAGGCAAGGCAGGCACAAGACCCAGCTGAGTACAGAAGCGCTAATGATCACAAGGCGCAAGCGCCTTGGTGAAGATATCAGCAGTGTTGGCCTCAGAGGCCACGTACGCAAGACGCAGCTGACCACGTTGTTGCAGCTCACGAGCAAGGAAGTAGCGGAGAGCAATGTGCTTCGTTCTGTGCTCCAGTCTCTGCTCTCGATACAAGGACCTGCTGCACCATGTGTGACTGAGTCAGGGTAATGGTGCGGCATGCTCTGTCCCGGGTGATCTACAAGCCAAGGTAGCTGCGCAGTTCACCCAGGTATGTGCACGTGTGTCTCTTCTGCAGCTTGGACTTCACGTGGGCGAGTCCAGCAGTGTTAGCTGTGGCAAAGACCAAGTCGTCGACGTACACGAGGATGTAGAACGGCGGCAAAGAAGTGTCGGTGCGCAGAAACAGCGACGGGTCGGCAGTAGAGGGAGCAAACCCAAGAGCCGCAAGTGTAGTCCTCAGTGTGTCGTGCCACTCACGCGGTGCCTAGCGGAGACCGTAGACTGGCCACTGGAGGCTCCACTGGGTGCTAGGAGGAAAACACCCAGTGAAGCCAGGTGGGCGGCGCAGCCAGATCTCCTCATACAGGCTGCCCTGCAGGAAAGCTGTGCTGAAGTCAAGAGAGTGAAGCTCGTAGTCACGGTGAGCAGCTATGTGCAGCAGTACCCAAAGAGTGGTCATCTTCGGGGTGGGAGAGAAGGTCTGAAAGTAGTCAACTCCCTGCCGCTGACTGAAGCCACGAGCCACGTAACGCCCCTTGAAGACAGGCGGAGAACCCGGCGGCCGCTTCACCCTGAAAATCCACATGCCACTGACGGTGTTCGCCCCAGGTGAGGGAACCTCGTCGACGTAGGTGCCTGTGGACTTCCAGGAAGCCATCTCTGCGTCCATGGTTGACTGCCACTGAGAGGAGTAGGGACCCTCGATCGGCTCAGCGTACGATCGAGGAGTCGGGATGTCAAGTGCATCCAGGTCTCCCTTAGGGGTAAGCAGTACGAACACGAGATGAGGTGAAGCAGCAGCCAGACACTGGAACTCCTCCTGCCTGTCCTCAAGGACGTCCGTGCCAAGGGCACACTCACCCCCGACGGACGGAGGACAGACAGACTCAGGCTCAGCAACAAGATTGCCCCAGCGGCAGCACCAGCACCAGCAGCACCTCCAGCTCCAGTACCTCCAGCAGCACCAGTAGCACCCCCAGCAGGACCGCCTCCAGGACCGACAGCAGTAGCCTCCGCGCCAACACCCGCAGCAGCTCCAACTCCAGAAGTACCCGCAGGCCCAGCAGCTCCAGTACTCTTAGTACGAGCACCTCCGGGACCCGCGGCACCAGCACCCTCAGCAGCAGCAGAACCTCCAGTACCCGCAGCACCTCCAGCTCCAGCAGCTCGCCTCCAGCGCCGGGCAAACCACTCACACAGCTCTTGTGGAAAGAGTTGCTCCCGGCGAGACAAGGCACCCGGAGAACCGCAAGGATCAGCACCCCCATAGTCAGCACCCCCAGGCTCATCACTCCCAGGCTCAGCACCCCCAGGCTGAGCACCCCCTAGCTCAGTACCCCCAGCGGCAGCACCAGCACCAGCAGCACCTCCAGCTCTAGTACCTCCAGCAGCACAAGTAGCACCACCAGCAGGACCGCCTCCAGGACCGACACCAGTAGCCTCCGCGCCAACACCCGCAGCAGCTCCAACTCCAGAGGTACCCTCAGGCCCAACAGCTCCAGTACTCCCAGTACGAGCACCTCCAGGACCCGCGGCACCAGCACCCTCAGCAGCAGCAGAACCTCCAGTACCCGCAGCACCTCCAGCTCCAGCAGCTCGCCTCCAGCGCCGGGCAAACCACTCACGCAGCTCCTGTGGAGAGAGTGGCTCCCGGCGAGATGAGGCACCCGGAGAACCGCCAGGCACAGCACCGCGAGACGCCACATGAGTTGGCCCAGCTCCCTCAGGTTCAGCACCTCCAGGCTCAGAACCTCCAGGCGTAGCACTCCCAGGCTCAGCACCCTCAGCAGCACCAGAGTCACCAGTGACCTCGACAGGCTCAACAGAGTCTACCTGGGACACACCTGAAGGGGCAGGACCCTGAGGGGGGAGGGGGTCTACCGGGGGGGGACCTGGCACAAGGAAGAACGGTGGCGGGGGGAGGGACTGAGTGCGGTAGGGGAAGAGACGGTAGTAGGGGACCGGCTCGTCGAACGTGATGTCCTGGGAGGACAGAACACGGCGAGAGGTGGGGTGGTAGAACTGCCACCCTGGCGCGTTAGGGGGGAAACCCAGGAAGACGCAGGGAGCAGCACGAGGGGACAGCTTGTTCGCACACAAGTCGCGGACAAACGCCCGAGATCCCCAGACACGGAACGCAGACACATCGCCAACCTTCCCCGTCCACAGCAAAGCTGGGGAGGTCTCCGGCATGAAGACCCTGGGCTGAAGGTTGATCTGATGCGCCGCGTACCGGACCGCAAACGGCCACAGAAAATGGGGGGCAGCCGCATGCATCATGGACGTACGGGCGACGTCCATGACCATGCCAATGCGGCGCTCAGCAATCCCATTTTGCTGTGGAGAGTCCGGAAGCGTGAAGGTCTGGCGGATGCCTTGTGCACGACAATAGGCTCGCAGAAGGCCAGAGGAGAACTCTCCTCCTCTGTCAGAGTGCAGGCGAGGAACAGGAAAGTCCGAGCCGAAGCTCTGCCTGAGCTGGAGACGAGCTGCGCGGATCCAGTCGATCAACACCTCAGCGACATCACCCTTGATGCGCAAGGGGAAGACTGTGGTGTAACGCGACTAGTCGTCAACCACCAGCAGGAAGTAGCGCTCGTGACCCTGTCCGCGAACGCGGGCCGGGCCCCACACGTCCATGTGAAGCGTCTGCAGCGGGGCCTCTGTCGGAGGAAACTGAGAGGAGTGAGGGGCAGCCCGCTGCCGCCCCTCGACACAGGGAACGCAGGTAGGGCCAGGCCCCGGAGGAAGGGGAAGGAGGAACCGGGGAAGACCAGAGACAAGGACACGGGAGGCCATGCTTCGGAGACGAAGCAGGGAGGGGTGACCAAGGCGGTGGTGCCAGAGGAGAGTCTCGTGAGACAGGAGTTGACACGAGCAGGGGGCAGACTCAGGACCAGACCTGGACGCTGCAGCAAACACCTGACCCGACGCAGCTACCTGACCAGACGCAGTGACTGGAGGAGACGCAGTGGTCAGCGTGTACAGGCTTGACCCCGGCCGACGTGTAAACGTGGCCAGGTGTCGGCCTGTCCGAGCGTCCGTGTAGTGGGTCACCCGCTGACTCGCAGGAGTGAACTGGTGAACCCCCGCATCCTGTAGGTCAGCACCGCTCACCAAGTTCGCAGAGAACGAGGGGAGGTAAAGACCAGACAGGGTGCTAGAGGGGGCCGCCGGACACGGGAGGACAGTGGAGAAGTGGGCAAGGACAGGACCCCCAGAGGGGTCTGCCAGAGAGACTGCAACTGGCCGACCAAGCGGCGTGAGTGTGGTGCGGTCTCGAAAGAAGGAGCGGGAAGCCCCCGAGTCAAGAGTGAAGGTGTGAGAGGCTGGAGCCGACGCGGTACGTGAGAGAGCAGACTCACCCGCACCTGAGGAAGCGGACTCACTAGCACCTAGAGCAGCAGCCGCACCTGTACCTGGAGCAGGATACTCACTAGCACCAAGAGCAGCAGCCTCACCAGCACCTAGAGTAGCACGCTCTATACCCGTGTCAGGCGGTACGCACAGGTGACCGGCAAGTTCATCACTAGTAGGCAATGCATACATGGCAGTGAGAATAGCATCATAGTCAAGGGCAAATATATCTACCCTCTGCCTAAGCAATTCCACCCAGTCGGGGAGCTCAGCCTCGTCGCCAAACTCGGTACGCCAGGCATCGCTCAAACGGGCGAAGCAGCGGGACTATGTGTGACTAGGTGTCCCACAAGGCTGACCAGTCCGAGCACCAGTGCGAATCACGTAAGAGCAGCGAACAGAACTGAGAGACCCTCTACTCTGAGCGTACCACGCACGAAGCTGATGGGGCGTGAGAGACGCGCGTGGGCGTCGCTGGAGCTGCATCTGGCCGCCGCCAGTAGTAGTGGTAGCAGTAGCAGCGCCGCCACCCCTACAACCCCAACCAGCGTACCACTCACGCAGCTGCTGGGGCGTGAGGGACTCACGCGGACGTCGCTGGGGCTGCATATGGCTCCGCCAGTAGAAGCAGGAGCATGAGTAGCAGCAGTAAGGCAGGGAGCCAAGCAGGCCGAAAGGCAGGGAGGCAGGCAAGCAGGCGGCGGGCAGCGCGCTAGCAGGGCAGGGGCTTACCAGTGGTGGGAAGAGCATGCTCGGCGACTCGGCGACTCGGCGATACGGGCGGCTCGGGCGGCACGGCGGCTCGGCAGCAGCTGCGGCTCGGCGGCTCGGGCGACTCGGGCGGCTCGGCGGCAACTGCGGCTCGGCGACTCGACGGCTCGGGCGGCTCGGGCGGCTCGGCGGTACGGCGGCTCGGCAGCAACTGCAGCTCGGCGGCTCGGCGACCCGGCGGCTCGGGCGGCTCAGGTGGCGCTGCGGATCGGGCGGCTCAGGTGGCTCGGGCGGCTTGGTAGCAGGTTGGCGGCGCCGGCGGCTCGATGGTGACGGCGGGGCCGCTTGGGGATGGCGGTGGGGCCGGGTGGAGCGGCGACGGGGCTAGCAGAGGTGGCGCCGGGGCCGCAGAGGTAGGCGACTGGGCCAGTAGAGGCGGCGCCGGGGCCGGTAAGGGCGGCGTCGGGGCCAGCAGAGGTGGCGCCGGGGCCGGGAAGGGCAGCGTCGGGGCCGCAGGGGTAGGCGACGGGGCCAGCAGAGGCAAGGCCGGGTCGAGAAGGGCGGCTTCGGGGTCGCCGGGGTAGGCGATGGGGCCAGCCGAGGTGGCGCCGGGGCCAGGAAGGGCAGAGCCGGGGCCGCAAGGGCAGGCGACGAGGCCAGCAGAGGCGGGGCCGGGTCGGGAAGGGCGGCGCGACGCGGCCGCTAGGGCGACGCGACGAGATGGGGCCGCGACGGGGCAGCGAGGGGTCGCACGCCTAGAAGGAACGGGGCCGCAAGCCTTGGGGCGCGCACAAGAGAGAAAATCGGTCGCACGTCACGGGGCGTGCGACAGATCGAGTAGCAGCGGAAGCAGTAGTAGGGCCCACAGGCCAGGAGCATATGTGCTCTGAAACCATGTAAAAATGAACGAGGATGAATGCACTATGAAAGAGTTGGGTACAAGTACTAACCCTTATTGGGTTGTACCCCATATAGGCTACCCCACTACAGCCTACACAAAAGCATAAGCTATAATGTTCTGACACATTCTGTTTCGTTTGGTAATTTTCTGTTTTTCATATCACCATATTCACATTCTTCCTTACGTATTTAATCACTTGTTGTGCTATGTTTGCCTCTTTCCGCTTCCCTAATTTTGTATATTATTTGTACGTTGTTCATTCTGGTTCTTATGCTTGTGCCGTCTTCTATCCATTCTTTCTGTTCCGTTTATTGGTTTTCTGTTTTCCTTCATGTTCAAAAGTTGTTGCTTTTTAACGCTTCAAAAGGCTCAACAATTTCATATGTTATTGGGTTAGATTCGAGTTTGATGCATTCCTGTAATTATTGGTGTTGTAACAATTGTAAGACAATAATAATGCATGTGTGTCCCTTTTTCTCCCATTATGCCTTGTTATTTCCCATTTGCTTTCCCGTCCTTAACCCAGCTTTGTCTTACCTTCCAGGCAGTCGAGCTCAATATGAGAAGGATACTGATATTGCTTGTGACTTCTGGTATAGGATACATGATGTATTTGTGACTTAGATTTTTATTTCATCTGCGGTTAATATGCTTTGTCAGTTCGGCTTCGTTCGTGCGCGTATGTGTGAAGGTGTATGATCATGTGTATATGGTGTGTTGTGTGCGTATGCGTTTTCATTCATGTTTCCATTGCATTAATAACACGTCTGTGGGTTTTACAAATTGGGATCAAACTATCATTTCCGAGAAGGTTCTTTGCGCACTCAGTGAGTGTGTCCATTCGAACTGGATTTGATAGAATTGACCCTTTTTTTATATCACATAGATTGTGTTGTTTCATGTAACAGTTGGATGATTCAGAAACTATGCTATTGAGCTCCCCCCCATGCTAGGCAGGGGATGCGGTAGCATAGGGTCTGGGTCAATTAACTGTTACGCATTTCCATTTTGCTACCGTATGCATTCATTCGGCATATGCATCACGGAATAAACAGTTACGCATTGACAGTACATCATTTTGGCAACTCATGAAATATAAGTTCAGTCAAAGCAAACTAGGAAACGAGAAGGAGTGTAGTTCGGCACGTGATAAATTGACGTGGCAAATGCATAGTAGTCAGTCACTTCACTTAGCTTCTGTTCACTAGATTTTTTTCATCCTTCATTTTTTTAAGTAAAGAGGATGAAAAAAAAAATGTACATAACGATCGTAATAGGTTGCTTCGCAACCCAAAAAAAACGGTCCTACGGACCTACTACTTTGAAACCATGTCAGAAAGGCTAGGCAAGAATGAATGAACTAGGACAAAGCTGAGTACAAGTATGAAACCCTAAAGGGGCTATACCCCATATTGGCTATCCCACTGTAGCCTACATATATATATAACACATATATAGTTTGACAACCCTGATGATCACTCTCTTAGTCTTGCAGGTCAAACTTCTAGCCTTAATACTGGTTGTTGAGCCATGATTCGTTAACCGCACCAAGCACATCGCGCTGCGGTATTTCTTCGTCAAGGACGAAGTTGGCAAGGGCAAGGTTGACTTGACCTACTGCCCGACGGGTGACATGACGGCTGACTTCCTCACTAAGAAATTGCCACGACTGTAGTATCAGCACTGCTCCGATCCCAGCAGAGTAGTCAAGTGGGTCAAGACCTGCTATGGCCAGGAGTTAAGGGGGGTGTTACAAATAGTAAAAGATGAATTAATGTGCAGTCTTGACAGTTTCAATCGAAGCACGTAGTACCGAGGCTGAAGACGAAAGGACGGAAATGACGCGAAGACTCATACGATTAGGAAGCATATGGACCGTCAAGGCAGATAGCATCAGGCAGCAGCAGTGGTGAGGATTCTGCCCAAACCATTTTGTAACCGTCTGGAGTGCATGGTTGGATTTTACTGCAATAAGGGAATGTACCCCTTAGATGTCAAAGTTATGTTTAATATATATCCTACGTGATGTAGTTAGTGTAGTTAATGTTACTGTTGATGGTGCACCTCTCTTTATTATGGCCTATAAGTTTCCAACATTCTATAGTGAATGCCCTCTTTGCCCAACTTACCTCTCGTTACTCTCGACTATCATCTAGGCTAGGGTTTCACCTAAGCCTAGGTTACTCTACTATTTCTGACATGGTTCCAGAGCTACTACAGTCTTAGGACCTAATTTTCTGTAAGATATGGGCCCGCCTATGCTACAACGCAAAATGCGCAATTTTTTTCCCGTTCGTCCGTCGAGCACGTTCCGCCCTGCCTGTCCGCCCGTCCGCGCGCCCTTTGCTCTGCCCGTTCGCCGTGGCGCCCAATTCCCGTCGCCTCGGCGCCCCTTATTCCCGTCGCCGCGGCGCCCGCTTTCCGTCGCTGCGGCGCCCGGTTCCCGTCGCCGCGGCGCCCCGCGTTCCGTCGCCAGGGCGCCCCCTTTCCCCTCGTCTGCGGCCCCCTTTTCGTCGACCCACAGCCCCCCGTCGCCTCGCGATCTGCCAGCGCCAGCGCGGATGCCAGCGCCACGGCCAGCCGCGAGCGCCAGCGCCTGCGCGGACCGTCAGCGCCGCCAACGCCAGCGCCGGCAGCTGCTCACGCCACCCCCCTCCCGCCCTCCCTTCCGCGGCTTCCGTCGTTAGGTGGGGGGGGGGAAGGGGAGATGTGGGGGTGGCGGGGGTGACCAGCTAGCAGCCCGTCCCTCCACTTTCTCTTCCTTTAGGGCTTGTCGCCGTGGAGAGAGGGGGGAGGGGGGAAGAAGGGGGGAGGGTGGGGGGGTAGTGGAAGTAGAAAGGAACGGATGAAGTAAGGTTAAAGGGGTTGACTGAAAATAGGGGTGAGGACCTGGAGGTTATTAACGGGGGGTGGGGGGGGGAATCGCATTGAGCGTGCGCGCTCATGCCCACCTAGCTCACCTCTCCTCATCGGGACTTGGGGGTTATTAACGGGGGGGATCGCATTGAGCGTGCGTGCTCATGCCCACCTAGCCCACCTCCTCTCCCTTTCCTCTCTCACTCCCCCCTTTGTAAAAGGAGGTTCGTAAGCGGGTACCCCGGGCATTGAGCTTGCGCGCTCATGCAAGCCCCCCACCTCCTCTCCTCTTCTCTCCTCTCCTCTATCCTCCTCCTCCTTCCTTACCTCTCTCTCATCTTCCACTGCGCCTGGTATACTCCTTCAGGGGGTGCTGACTGCACAAGTTCCTACCGCACGCAGGCTAAGGGGGTGTGTCAAGGTTATGTTTAATATATATCCTAAGTGCTGTAGTTACTGTAGTTATTGTTACTGTTGGTAGTGCACCTCTCTTTATTCTTGCCTATATGTTTTCAACATTCTATAGTGAATGCCTTCTTTGTCTAAAATGCTAGGCAGGAATGAGAAACAGGAGAGAGGGTTTTCACTAGCAGGTAGTTGAGTACATATAGCAAACCCTAATTTGGGCTATACTCGCTATAAAGTACCCCACTGCAGGCTAGACAAGTATCACATTCTGACACACCCCCATAGTCAAAGTGGGGTATAATCAGCACAACAAGTA